AATGCTACCTTTTCAGAAAGGTATTATCATATCGATAAATTCGCTTTTCGGTTTGACGACGTAAAATCTATAAATGTGATATGTATTTTAACATCAAGACTGACTCAAGATGTATTAGAAAGCTTGTTCAGCCAGATTCGAGGTCTAGAGCGTTTTAATGACCATCCGTCTCCATCAGACGTAATAATTCGCTTGTAAAGGTTGCTATTGGCAAACAAATTGCCTAGAATTGTCGTTAAAGGCAAATGCTAATGACTGTGAAGATGTGAAGAAGTGGAAGCAATTTGACAAAACAGCTGTTAGAAACAGCTTTTTCTTCAAATGATGAAAATTTTTTAGTCTTCCTCATACGAAGATGATTCAATTAATTAAGAAGACATCTATGATGAATGTACGTCGCTTCCTTGGGAAACCGAAATTTATGATTCAACGAAAGATGTATCTGGCATATGAAGGAGAATCGCTCGCTTATGTGGCAGGTTATACTTGCATATCGCGTGAAAGATAAAGATCCTACTTTGGGTGAGAGAAATATAAAAAAAATTCATAGATATTCCTAACGACTCAAATTGGATAGTTTGTATTATCTAAGCAGGAGGCCTAACTGTACCATCACCAGTTTGGATGGAAACGATGATGAAAATGGAAAATGTTTTCCGTTCTTTTCGAAAAGGTAGAGGTGTAATTCAGAATCTCATTTCTTAACTTGAGAAACGTTTTTCCTCCGTGGATAAGAGTTCAATTCGTTTATTTTGCCTTTTACGAACATTTATAAGGGTTCGGCGCTTGAATAGGAATACAACCCTTGTATCGGCAAGAAAAGCTGACCAGAAAGCAAATAAATGGATGAAGAGTAATAGAGGATTATCAAACCAAACTATATAAGAAAAAAAAATCATGTAAGTTAATTCATATTATTCCTACCAAAAATAATAATTTGAATCATTACTTTTTTTATTATTCACTTAATTTGTTGACCTAATTATGCAAGTTTCAGAAATATTTGGACTACTATTAAAATATTATATATTATTACATACTAAGTTAGACTGCTAAATTTTACTATATTAATAAACAATGAAATTTGCATAAGCATAAATTAGTATCAGAGCATATACTTTAAAATGTAAGAATACATGCTATTATTCCAAATATATAAATACTTTTAAAACATTTTCATTATTTTTGGGGGTAATTGACGTTAATACTGATACTGATATTCCATAATAATGCTTTCATAATAGGACAGCCAAAAGCTTACAAATTCTACTATCATTATCAACGCTAATGAAAAATCAAAATGAAGAAGTGAATTTGTTTCGTTTTAATGTGTTATGAAATCTAGTATTAGCATTAACTAATTTTTAATTATTGATAGATGTGTAAGTCTTTAGCATGTATTCTCAAAAATGTATTTGCATATTTTATTTAATATTTCTATATACAAATTACTTTGCGACTAACTTATATTTTAACGCAAAAAGAATTCTTCGTAATGTAGAAATTTACGATGTTATCGGTGGGTTAATATTACATACATTAAAAAGATGATTAGAAAAAGAATTACACATTTAGAGAGTACACTCGACCTAAAAATTAGTTATGTTTACGCATATGTGTTAATTAAAAAATAGTTATGTTTATGCATGTTTTACTTACGTTTTACACATATTAGAGTTTAATTTGGTATGACATAAATACATTTCTAGTTCATCTAAATGCATGTATATTGCAATTTCATGAGCTAAAATCTCGGCTCATATTGGTTATTAAACTATTTTTCAAAGCGTTTTGATTCTCAAGCAAATGCTTAAGAAACTGGACAGCAGAACTCACCAAGCGAGCCCAATACGTCATCAGTCTCTTCTTTCGGTTTCAGCCGCGAAAAGCTGATGAGCTAGCCCTTTAGCCCTGGTGTAATCCCCTTTTTTTTTCAGAAAAAGCATATGAAGTTCAGGGGTGTGGCTTATACATGCAAAATGATTAGAATTAGATGTATAGAAACAGCTGGCAACACAGCAAAATGTATTTAATGATTGAGCATAAAATACATTGTTGGGTGAACGTTTCATATTGCACTAGTTGTGGTTGCTGGTTATGGTGACCGGTTGTGGGATACTAATACTAGTGATAATTGATACTGGTAGTACAGCCAACTACTGTAGTGATCGACAGCGAATAAGGAGTGCTAAGCACAGAAACATGTTCCTTTTGATTGAAAATTTAAAAAATGCATGTTAAGTACTGTTTTTCGCTTAACTAATTTCACACCTGCAAAATGGAAAAATATTATATACAGGCTATCTGTCACTTATCCTAAAAAAAAAAAAAAAAAAAAAAAAAAAAAAAAAAAAATTTTTTTTTAATTAGGCATATTTAAAGTATTGTATTTCTCCTAAGAGAAATTATATACAAAAATTGAAGAAGGTTTTATATATATAAATATGCATGTGCATGTTTATAGTATAGAGTACAATGCAGAAATATTCCATACTGCTTTGCACAGAAATACGTGCCAACCAAGTATTGGTCATTCCAAAAAAATATCTCTACACCACTTTGTTCTTACCTTCTTCCATTGCCTCTTGGCTTATAAGAAGGGCAGATAATAGAGCATTCTGTTGAACCAGTAAAACTTTGTGGTGAGCTGAAAAAGCCATGACACAAAATAACGAAAACAAGCAGAGCGAGCGCAGGAAATCAATCGAGCTGGAAAACAGCATGCGAAAGGTGTAGACACATCTACGCATGCGCAACTTCAGCTTCTCTCATTGGCCACAGCTTAGAGCCATGTCTCGCAGGTGTGAACGGAACTCCCGTATTTTATGCCCTTATGACTATGCTTCTATGCCGCTGTCTGAACGCAGTCCATTTCACACCACCTCATAACTTTTCTACAGTTTTACAGGGTTGCCACTCAAACAAGAGAATGAAATTCCCCAACTTTTCCAGATGCGTTTCAAGAAAAGCCCAAGCTATCCGCGTATACACTGTGCTGAAGGTAAATTAATTATGGTACCACTTCAAAACACAAAAATTTTGCCATTTGCATATAATCCCCAAAGCATTACTTTTATATCTATAATAGTAGTTTTCTCCACTGAGGATTGAATTAGGATCTGCCCAATCGGGATTTAAAAATGTCTTTTCTGCAGACATTTTGCAGCTAAAGGAAGAAAGAAATCTATTTTATGATATTTTTAAATAAATTCAAGTACTTATATTTATTAAGCAGCATACATAGGTAAAAAATATGCGCCCTTAATTTCGCGATGGTATGTCATATTACTGCTAGAATTAGTTTCACAAGTATGCAGCGAAAACTGCCTGAAATTTGAAAGCATTATTAACTAATAATAAATAAATTTAATAGGAAGAAGACACATTAAATGATACGAATAACATTAAAATAAAGTTAATTACTTAAGGATTGAATTGCAAAAATCGACGGTATTTTGGCAAATATATATAAAATGATTAGCCTAGGTGACTGATTATTATTATTATTATTATTTTTTTTTTTACAGCAAAATGACAAATAAGGTATTTAAAAAAGAAGAAAAGGTTTAAAAGAATTTGTTTTATATGAGAATGGAAAAAATTTACTTTTGTTCAACATGAGCCGCACATGCAAATGTCTGGATTTTCAAGATTCTTAGAAACTTGCTTTGCCTCTCCAAATGATAATGTGAAAACGGTGCTGAGAAAACTGAATCTAGGTCAGCTATCCGAATGACGGTCAATGCAATACACGATTTGCCAAGGTGGGTGATCGCTCCTAACGCTGGTGTAAAACTTGCTTCTTTGGGGATCGCAGTACGAAATTCCCTGATTTTTTCGGTCAATTTTTGAATTCTCTGACATTTCCTTGTTTTCCAGGTAGTGTGGCAACCCTTGTTCAAGTATGACAATTAGTATCGGGATCGATAAAATTACATTTACGGTTAACACATAAACGTTGAAATACAGATTTTTACATCTCCATTCCACTGCTTCCTTTAACTGAAGTAGAACTTTATTTTATAGCTTCTGTGTACTCTCTTCCAGATGGAACAGTTCCTCATTTCTGAAGAAATTGTATGGAAGATTTTGAACTATTAGGGAAGTCCCAGATTTCCAAATCCATGATAAAGATAAGAATAACTGTTACAATCTTTAGAATTTGTATTCTTGTTGCCAGTTGCTTTTTTTTTTTTTTTTTTTTCTTTCAAATGCACTCCTTTACTTTTTTACATTGTAACAATTTTCAAAGTAAACATTCGTGACTTCACATGAATCAATCTCTTGGCGAGTTTAGAAAAACATTTGGGCGACAACTCTGTTCCCAATAACAGAACTGAACCCAAAATACTTCACTTCACGCAGTCCCAAATCTTAAGCTTCTTTCTTTTTTTTTTTAAATGTGAAGGGCAAATTCCTTCCATTACAAAAATTAAACTGACTGACTGAGAATTAATCAAGTTTACACTTTAAGGAAAACAAACTTATGATTGAGTTGGGATGTACTGTTTATCCATTGCTGGCACTAAATATACTGTTTGGCGACAACATGTATGTGTTAATAGTAATATGAGCTCTAAAATGGCATTATAAATCTATCATTTATTAAATCTTTTTGAGTGGAACCCCCCTTCTTTCAAAGTTCTAAAATATTGCGGTTATTTGAGCTTCCTGGTTAGCTGAATAGCAGACAGTTGGGTTTTTATTGTAACGAAATTATATAACTAATTTGAATTTCCATGCTGCTTTAAATTTTACAATTTAAAACATTTTTTAAATTGCAAAGCCATAATATTTCATAAACAATATTAATAACAAATATTTCACCAGAATAATATGAAGAGATATGCTGGAAATTGATTAATGACTCACCCAAATAATTCTGAAAAATTCATGAATTATGTACTAAATAATCAACAAATCTATTAAAAAAACTTAATGTACAAATATTTGGTCTTGCATTTAAACTCATCATTTCTAATAAAAATAATACAACTTACCACCAATTGTACTTTCTTGATATTCATGAAACTGCCCCTTTACAAATCTTAAGACTAAGCTAGATTTGCCTACAGCTGATTCGCCAAGCAACACAAGCTTGAACTGACAAATTTTGCCTTGTGACGAATTATTAGGTCTTTGAGCTCCACCCCGACTTGCCATCACAGGGTCTATCAGAAAACAAATGTTTAGAACATGAAACAGTAAAATATGCAATAAAACATTAAATAAATGCATAAAGGGCTACAGTCTACAAAAGATTTTATATATATTTTTACTTTCATTTTTATTTTCATTAAAAAGTCAAAAGCATAAACTGAACTTATTTTAAACATAGATAGCTAGTTGACCTAGTTCTGGAAGCCTTAATAATCATCATATATTAAATACTTACCTAATTATTCACAAATTTTTTAGAAAAAGAATGTTTTTTCGATGTTTACAAGCATTAAAAGGGCAGAAGCTTTTGTTGTAATGAAAATACATCACCATCTACAACTCGTAGTAAATAAAAATTTTGGAATTACTGGCCAAAACAGTTACAATTTATTAAAAACCTGAATTCTAGTTATGTTTCCCAGTCAGTCATATAATAAAATGTAGTAAACAGTGGTCTCAAAACTCGTACTTTTTTGCGGGCTGATTGCCTGAAACTGAAAGCAGCAGATAAATTTTTGGGGGGTACTTTCTGATTATCTGTATCCTTACTGAAAACTAGCAAACTTATTGGTGACTAAGAGCATTCTCAAACTTACTGGCAACTAAGTTTTTGACAATTAAATCATGAAATGAACAGTCATTTTTAAAATGGTGGCTTACTAAGAATTCCATACAACAGTCAATCAGTAAAATTAAAAAACATCAGTAATAGAAACTCATTTTGAAGAAATCCTATTTTGCACTATGCAGTTATCTAAAGAGACACACTATGCACATATCTAGTATTCCTTTTTGCACTGTTATTCTCCCCATGTGCACCACTTTAAAAAAAAATCAGAGAATTGCAAAAATTTGGGACTGCACACTGGCAAAAAAAGAAGTGCTATGTGGATATATGGGCTGCTCTACCACATACACACTTTTTGGTTACATTGAAATTACCATAACTATTTTACATCATGAATACTTTGCTGCGACTTTTTGATGGATATGGACAATCACAAAATATATTATATGAAATATTTTTTAAATATAACGAAACTTTATTTTTAAGAAATTAATAGTCAAAATATGATAAACATTTTATCTCACAAAAGTCTTTGTACGCTTCAAAAAAAAAAAAAAATCTTGATATATAAGTAAATATTTCATTTTTCGTCAAATTAATATTTAGTAGAATATCCTTTAGCATCCACAACAGCTTTTAAACATCTGGGAATAATTTTACTAGTTTTTTTTTTTTTGTAATTTCTATATCAATGCTCATCCATTCTTCCGTCATGACTGTTTCGATTTTGCTTTTCGTTTTGATGTCGTGTTTTCCTACTCTAACCTCCAGTTCTTTCCAGATGTGTTCTACGAGGTTTAAATCTAGCAAATGAGGGGGTGTTTCAAAACCTGTGGACAATTATAGAGACACCATAGGCGAATACTGAGAGCCATATGCCTAGAATCGTTATCATGATTAAAAATAAAGTAGTTTCCAATACCCAAATTTTGGGCTGATAATTTTAAATTGTCTCTTAAAATATTTAAATAAAAAGAATAATTCATTATGCCATCAATAAGTACCAAATTATCTAGTCCTGATGCTGCCATGCACCCCCACACAAGAGCACCTCCACTGCCATGCTTAACTGTTCCCACCAAGTTCTTAGAATGAAGTTCCTCATTTTTCTTCTCCGTTATTCGACCATCGGAACCAAAAATGTTAAATTTGCTTTTGTGAGAAAATACATTATTCCAGTACGTTTCAGGTGTATTTATCATTGATTTTGCGAATTAAAGTCAAAGCTTTCCGTTTTTCTCACCAACAAAAAATTTTTTACTGGCAGAACGCCCATGTAATCCAGCTTCTCTGAGAACTCGTCGAACAGTTTCAGGTGAAACTGAAGTAGACAACTTTGCATTAAATTCTGCAGAAACTTTTAAGGTACTCAAACGTGGGTTTTTTTACAAATTTTCTAGTAATAAATCTCTCATTACGTTTAGTTAACTTTCTAGGTCGACCTTTTCTTACCTTGTTTTCAATCCAATTTTTTTCTTTAAAGCGGTTTATCACATACTGCCCTGTAGAATGGAATAAATTAACTAATTTAGCGATATTTTGAATTGATTTACCACTACTATGTTGAAAAATTATCAATTTTCGAATGCTGTTTGCAATTTCTTTACGACTGCAACCCATTTTTCAATAATAAATAGATTATGAATTAAACAATAAAAAATTAAAGAAAAGATTTCTTAAATGCCACCACAATGCAAAAATTAAAAAAGCAGCGAACGATAATTCTAATTTTGATTTTATCCAAAAATATTTCGGTGTACGAACACTTTTGCGAGATAAAACGTTTGTCATTTTTTTATTAATTTCTTAAAAATAAAGTTCCGCTATATTTAAAAAATATTTCATGCAATTTGTTATGAATAGATTATAGTTCTTATTATTAAAATCTCATTCATAAAGTTTACTTTTAATTAATGGATAGAACCCTACTTCAATGAAAATATAAGTGTACAAACACTTTTGGGAGCCACTGTTCTTTGGCTAAGGTGTTGTTATATTATATTGTTGTTCACTATATTGTTGTTATTTGGCTAAGGTGGTTTGTGTGCGCGATTGTCGTGTTTCGGTGGCTATTTATTTTTTTTCTCATATAAGTGACATTACCCGAGGCTCCATTGAGCATTTGTCATGCCAAAACGAAAGTCAAAATTCAACAAGGAGTTACTAGGCGAATTTCCTTTCATAAAGAAGATTAGAAGCAACATTGATAGTGACGTGAGGTGCGACAAATGTGGATCACATTTCTCCGTCGATTACAGTGGGCGTGGAGATATGACGCATTTGAATACAGATTGTCCCAAAAACGTCAGCATCGTCAGGTACAATTACGAACTATTTTTCAAGATCTGAGTTAAGCTGAAAGGAAGCTCGGTTGACTGCTACAGAAGGCACCTTTGCGTACCACACGATTTATCACAATCATAACTTTAGGTCGGTGGAATGTACTTCCAAATTAATGAAAAAGTGTTTTAGTAAAAAATTCACTTGCACGTGAACAAAATGTGAAGCTATTACCACAAATGTTCTGCATCCATATGTAATGAAAAAAGTCAAGGCAGAATTAAATGTCTCGAATTTTGTGACAGTGTCTACAGACGCATCAAACCATAAGGATGTCAAGCTATTTCCTGTAATAGTGAGATATTTTGTGTCACTGTCAGGTATGAAGGTTAAAATCCTAGACATGCAATCTCTTTCTGTAAAAACAGCACAGACGATTTGCAATTTTCTTGTAAACGCATTACAACGCCATGGTCTGACAAAAAAGGTCATTGGCTTCTGCGCAGACAATAACATGAATTTTGGGGGGATTAAAAAGAAGAGGTAGAAACAATGTTTTAGCAATATTACAAGATGCCCTCGAGAGGCAACTGCTAGGTATTGTTTCTGCTGCTCATATTGTTCACAATGCAATCCAAACAACAGGGGATTGCTTGCAAATTTATATGAAAGAAATTGTTATGAAAATTTATTATTATTTCTATATCTACATTGTTCATGTTGAGGCATTCAAAGAATTTTGCGACTTTGCCTGTGTAAAGTACCAGCACATTTTAGGATATGGGAAAACTAAATGTTTATCACTGATGCCTGCAGTAGAGAGAGTGTTAAAATTGTTTCCTGCACTTTCTTGTCAGAAGGGAAGTGCCCCACCCTATTGAGAATGCCTGTGCTGAATTGTGGTTTTATTTCGTACATAATATCGCTGCGCGTTTCAAGTGGCAATTCTGCACTTTGAAGCACATACTGTAACAGCATATTTTCACCTTTCAGGGGGGGATGCCCTCTCCCACCACCCAAATTTGCATCCCTGCGTCCCGCTTTGCCCTCCGGAAAATCTGGTCACCTTATTTACTTAGAATACTTAAATGGCTGGTTATGTCAAGAAATGCTAAATCTCTTACCTCTTGTATCATTATATAGTTCTTTGACGGTTTTATTTATTTATTATTTTTTTTTCATATTGGGAAAACTTTGATTTCACCTATTTAAAAAAAAATACAGTTTTAATACAGCTCCTTGGTTTAACCATCTTACCTCATCATAATAACTTATTTCACTTTCAGTTTCTTCAAGAAATGCAACATACAGTCAAAAGTCGTTAATCCGGACTCGTTGGGACTTCGGCGATTCCGGATTACACTTTTTCCGGATGATAGATCATCAGTTTAAATCTGGTAAGATGGCATGCAGAAATTATAAAATTAAAAATATGAAACCGTAATTTATGAAATAAAGAACAATTAATATCTAAAGGGTACCAATTTACAAAAAAAAAAAAAAAAAAACTTAATATTTATTTGTTTACTTTATTAAACATTTCTTTCAATGTCAGTTGTTTAAGTTGCTTCGTTTTATGTGATAATACTTTCTCTTTAATTCTATGAACAGACATAATTTCTTCTTCAGTTACAAAGTTCCACTGTTGAGGTCCTATACTTGCTGTGTCGAGAATACTGACTAATTTGTCAATTGAAATTTTTTTGTTTTCAATAACCTCTGTGTCACTTTCTTCACTATCGGAAGCGAATTATAATGATGAGGAATTTGATTTAAATCATATCAAAGACGGAGTACATTGAGATAAAATACTACTAAATGTAGTATTTCATCTCAATGTACTCCATCTACTAAATGTAAGGAATTATAAGCCAAATAAAATAAAAACATCTGCCCTGAAGATAAGGATAGTGCTGACAGATCAACTTCCAATACGTTGCACGCCACAGCGTCTCCCCCCCCCAGCCGCAGAGCAGCGTGAAATTGATAAACAGATTTCTGAATGGTTAGATAAACAAAGGATTATGCCTTTATCCATTTTTTGCAGCAATTCCACTTTTCGTTTTGCTATATATGAAACATACTTTCGCTTTGTAGATCATTTACTTATTAGTACAGTCAAAAGTCGTTAATTCGGACACCCATAATTCGGAATAATCTATAATCCGGACATCAAAACTAAAAACTTTCTGCGCATGCGCTGCGTTGACACATGCGCAGAGGCGTTCACTCGTGCGCGTAAGACCTTTTACGACTGCGCATATGAGTGTGCGCAAGTGCAGAATACGTTTTCGCGTGCGCATTTTATGTATAATGGACGTATAAGCTAAATAATTATCTATTTCAGTTAATGTTGATGATTGCGTTGTTCCTTAGTTTTCGAATTGCATCCGGCTTATTATTTTTTGCAGACTGTAAGAGCAATTTTATAAAAGTAAGCTTAAACTTTCGATTATATCAAATAGAATTTCCGATATATATTTGTTAATATGTAAAGGATCTAAAGCGAAAGTATGTTTTGAAATCCGAAATCTGTTTATCAATTTCACGCTGCTCGGCGCGTAATGAATTGGAAGTTGATTTGTCAGCACTATCCTTATCTTCAGCGCAGATGTTTTTATTTTATTTGGCTTATAATTCCTTACCAAATGTAGTATTTCATCTTCGGATAGCGAAGAAATGTGACAGAGGTTATTGAAAACAAAAAAATTTCGATTGACAAATTAGTCGGTGTTCTCGACCCAGCAATTATAGGACTTGAACGGCGGAACTTTGTAACTGAACAAAGAAATTATGTCTGTTTAATAGAATTAAAGAAGAAAGTATTATCACATGAAACGAAGCAAAACTTAAACAACTTACATTGAAAGAAATGTTTAATAAAGTAAACAAATAAATATTAAGCTTTTTCTTTTTGCAAATTTTGATACCCTTTAGATCATAATTGTTCTTTATTTCATAAATTACGGTTTCATATTTTTAATTTTAGAATTTCTTGCATGCCATCTTACGAGATTTAAACTAATGATCTATAATCCGGAAAAATCGATAATCCGGAATCGCCGAAGTCCCGACGAGTCCGGATTAACGACTTTTGACTGTAAATATAAATCGGAAATTTTATTTGACATAATCGAAAGTTCAAGCTTACTTTTATAAAATTGCTCTAACAGTCTGCAAAAAATAATAAGGCAGATCCAATTCGAAGATTAAGGAACAACGCAATCTGCAACATTAACTGAATTAAATAATTTTAGCTTAGCTTATACCGTCCGTTATACATTAAATGCGCATATTCACAGCCGTAAAGGTCTTACGTGCATGCACAGAAAGTTTGTAGCTTTGAGGTCTGGATTATAGATCATTCCGGATTATGGGTGTCCGAATTAACGACTTTTCACTGTGTTCTTTGATGATACAGATTCATCCATAGATAAAGTTTACTATTTCCATGACATCACATACCAGTAAACTTATGGCACAAAATGCTTCTTGATGAATAATACAGATATAGTGCTTGATTTATACATGCACAGTGCAAATATTATACTGAAATATTTCTCCTTTCACTATATTTCTTAATTTCTCTGCCATTTCATTTTTTACCAACCATAACAGCTACACTACCCTGAAAATTCAATCCCAATTTTATCTGTTACAGTTTTTAATTCAAAAACATATAACTTTTACTAGTTTTCCCTTTCATAGGAAATGGTTCCATAAATTCAATTGCTTCAAATTCATCAGAAACACCTTGTACAGAAATGGAAGATGTGCTATATATGCAGTGTGATGTGCTCATCAACTATTTTTAAGAATGCTACAAAATCTACATATATTTTTAAACCAACATCATAAATAGCTGGCAATTTCATTAATACATTCCATTACCATGTTGCCTGGCAAACTCGTATTACAAAAGCACTGTCAAAAAGTTCAGCAGACTCAATCAATCTTTAAGGGATTTGCCACCAGTGAATGGCTTTAATCATGCTGCACTGAAGCACATGAGATCAAAACTTTCATGAAGCTGTTTAGCTAAATTTGTTTCAGGAAAAATAATATATATTAGATTTTTAGAAATGGTAGGGAAAAAATCCAAATGCACAAATACCTACTGTAAAATATTTATTTTTTAAGCGGCTATAAAGTTCTTCTAACAGCTGTCAGGAATGCAATTTTTGAAGCAATGAAGCAACCAGCAACACAAAGGCCTTTCTCTTTTTGGCCATTTTGTACATATGGCTTCCACAATGGTGTATAATATCATTTGTTGTCAGTTTTCTCAGGTGCAGGTCAAGATAAAACACCATAAATTCAATGTAAGAATGTAACAGATTTGTTTTCACTTCATGTTGACTTAAACTGTCATAACTTTGAAAGAAATGATTTCACAAATCACATTACTTGGGTTTGCTGTATCCTTTGGCGATAAATGCTGCAGTTAGCCAATCACTGGTAAAACTGAAATGCACCATTAATTTTATTTAGTTTATAAAAATTTTAGGTTAAAATGTATTTAAGGTTGACCCTTGGCGAAAATTGGTGATTGGCCAGCAAGGCATAATTTCAAGATGGCCACTATATAAAACCAAAATAACAAGTCAAGAACTGCATAAATAAAACAACTTGGCAATAATCTAAGGGGCACCCTAAAATATAAGCCAGCCAAATTTTACCATTATGCTGTCCTGTAACAAAAAAGAACTGAATTTTTAATTAAATTTTTTTTGTTCAAGTTTAATCTGTTGAAGGGTGGGAGGAATTCCAATTTCTGCTCTTAGTAGTCCATTCAGGCAAATGTATTACCTCCAGTGTTCAAATGGTATTTTTAAAACACGTTATATGAAATTTCAAAGTGCAGCTTATACAGTAAGGAATTTTAATAATGTTTACTTTTATTGTGAAAAGCATGCAATACTGCTTTACTAGTTTTCTTATCTGTTAAGAATTATATCTCAGATATAGATAATTTGGGACAATAAACCTTTTAATGGTGCTTTCCCATCTTTGTCATGCTGATAACCAACTACTGTAGAATCCAGCAGCATTGCCAAACTAGTTTTAACTCTTTGCTTACTATCTCCCAGATGATAACGAAAGCCTTCATAAAGATAATCCACTGCTTTAAAAAAAACACATTTGAAACGTACCTTCCTTTTAATAGTAAACCTAGCACTTAAGTTCTAAAGAACATTTGACTACCTGAAAATCGTATTTAATAAAACCTCAAGTAAAAATTACCCAGACTTCTGGCAGATATCAATGCACATATTTATTGAAATAATCCCTATATATAACTAACCATAAACCCTTCCTTCCTATCATTTTTACATTACAATAAAATTTATATAGTGAAAAATAAACTTATCATTAGATACTGTTTCATTGTAAAATACCTGTTATTGCATTTAGTTTTTTTTACAACTTTATGATCATTTTGATGCCTTCTTCCTAGCTGTTTTAATATTTCAGATGTTTATGGTACAGAAAAAAAGATATATACCTAATTCATTATGCAAAATAATTGGTTATAAAAATACTATCCCTCATAGAAACTCATTTCTACAATAATTTACTAGTTAGTCAAATTATTTTTACGTCAATGAAGCTAGGTTGTCCTAATAATTTATGCAATGAAAAGCATCAAATATAAAATTCAACAATTTCTCAAAGTGTCAAATCATTTTTTTTCTGCTGACTAGCACATACCTGCCAACCTCTAAAGATAAAAATTCAGATTTCTCCAAATTCAGAAGAACACGAAGAATTAATATCATGCTTTGATATTAAAAAAATAACAATTTATACAAATAGAAAAAAGAAAATTGTACTTACATTAGTAAATCTCAATTAAGTAGTAACTAAAAAATTTATTAGGAAACATAAAACAAGAACTTAATGTTACACAAAAAAATTATTGCAATGAATTAAGAGTGCATTTTTTGGCTTTAGCCAAAAATTCTTTGGAAAATTTCCTGTCATAACAATTAGTTTCCTCATAACATTTAGCAATTAAAATGTTTTCTAGAGTTTTTGGTGAAATTGAAGAACGAAACACAGTTTTGTTTTTCTTCACAACACTGAAGACTCTCTCGCACTCAGCATTACTGTGTGGAATTACGAGAATAGCACATAAAACTCTTGCTAGTCTATCATATTTTGGTGTTCCATCAGCTCTTTTTATTCTTTTTAAGGTACCAACGAGGACATTAAGTCTTATCTTCTCCAGAACTGGCAAAGTCTTCAAACTGTGCAGCAGAAAATTGGTTCTGTAGTTCACCTAAAGCATCATTATGGCATTCATTTTCTTTAATTGTTAACAAAAATGGAAATTTATCAATAAAAAAATGAATCTTTTCAAAAGATGAATTTTCACTTTGTTTGAAATTTG